CTTTCCAGCTTACCCGTAACGTTGTCATAACCTTCTGCAACGAGCTGATCCCAGACACACTCGGCTTTGTCATACAACTTGTCCCATTTTGTCCAATATGGAGAGCAATTGGTGTAAACAAACTCCATTGTGCGAGACAACTCTGCGCGATGCTGGGCTATTTGCGCTTCCTTGGAGTCAGTTCCGTACCTGTATTTCATGCAGTCTGCATACCACGAATTTCTTGTAAACGCAGCACCACATCTTTGTTCTTTCTTTTCAAGAAGAACTACTTCTGCATTCCACACCTCCGCCCAAGCGAGATAATACTCTTTGGTGCCCTTCTGTGTTTCTTGTGCTAAGGCCTGTTTCTCATTCCTTTTCTTCAGAGCAGTTTCCTCGGCCCATTCGGCGTCTTTAAAACACTCGACGGCAGCATTATGTTTGGCTTGCAATTCAGATTCCGTGTTCATGGTTGAATTTAATAATAATGTAAATATCTACATGTGGAAGAGAGTGCAACACAAAATTTTGGAACAGTCAACAATGTGAATTAAAGGTGATTCAGTTACAGCAATTATGAGGAAAAACACAAACAAACAAGACTAGTAGAGTCAGCACATCATCAATCTTTAAACAAGAGAAAAATACAAAAGAAAAATCATCATTGCTTTCTTTTTATTATTTACTATTATTATTATTATTATTATTATTATTATTATTATTATTATTATTACTGTTAACAGTACGTATATATATAAGAATAATATGTAATGGTAATAGTGAAAGTAATGACTATTCGTGATAGTACTTAAACCACTGAAACAAAAACAATATCATTAACATTAAGAAACAAAAAAGAAGAATATAACTCCAACAGGTAAACGATTAGTTAGACTGTAGTCTGGATGTATGCAAAAAAGAAAAGAAAACAAAGGATGACCTGAGTCACACCACACCACCACTACAATCAGCACAAAAGAATACAGGCCAGTGTAACCACAATCAGTAGTGGTACACGCACCCACACAGAACGGCTGATACTGCTGCTGCTGTCTGCATCACCCTTCTTGATGTGTGCAGTCTCAGGAGGAAGTGTTGTCGTTGTGATGGTGATGGTGGGTGTATCTGTATTATTTGTTGTAGTGTCAGTGTCTTTCGTTGAATCATCCTCTGTAGGCTTCGTAACAGCATTAGAATTCTCAGCTGCACCATTCGGTTCTTGAGAAGTTTGGTTGTTCTCAGAAGATTGAGGTTGTTCCGTTGTACCGCTGTGGGTACTCTGAGAATCAGGTGAATCGGTATTAGCTGCACCTGAAGATTGTGAGGGATCCTGACCACCATTCCCTCCGGGCTGTTGAGTTCCGTTATTCTGATCAGTCTCTCCACTGATCACTTGACCTGTTGTTGTTTCATCAGTCCTCATCCCTTGATCGACACTATTCATATTGCCCTTCTGTCCATCTTCACCTTTTGACCCTGGCACACCTGGTTGTCTCACCAAAGGGTCTCTGCCATTTGAACTACCACGTTGACCTGAAAGAGTATCCTGCTGTTGTTTTTGTTCTTGATTCAACCGTTCTTGGTTTATACTCACCTCAGCACCAGCACTAGACCTTGATCCTTGGTTTGACTTAACACCTGCTTGATGACCTGGAGCACTCCTAGTACCAGCAGTGCAGGAACCATCAGTAGTAACAGCAGAACCGGTTTCGCAAGTGGCACGCGTATCAGATTTACTAGTTAGAAGAGGAAGTGTTTCTGGTGCTTGTATTGGTTGTCCAGCAATAGAAGTAGGGTCACGACTATACCCTGTCGCTTCAGACCCTTCACGGCAAGCAGTAGAACCTTCTTCAGCAGGAAGACCCGTGCTTGCAGAGGTGCAAACAGTAGAAACACTCAGCAGCAACGTCAGAAAACACAACACACGACACAACAACATCACACCAAGAGTAAATTTAGTTTGTTTTGCGTCACGCAACTGAAGAAATAAAAGCGGAACAGAGAGAAAAATGAAAACGATATAATACAATACAGACGAAGAGATGAAAAACAAGAAAAAAAGTGTCACAAAAACCAACACAACCAGCAAAAATAAAAGAGAAGCCAATAAAAGGGCATCACACAAAATCTCAAGCAAAACTTAAGAAAACTAAATTAAGAACATAAGCAGTGGCATCATCAATCGCAGAAACCAACGAATCATGATTATAGTGGAATTCATAAGCAATTATACACATGTATAATTTCTCTTTTTCCCGCTCTGCAGAAAGCATACCACCAAAAGAATGCAAGGCAAAGCACAAAATGTCTGCAGCAAACCAACAAGCAAACAAACAAAGATATTAATCATTAGCCAAACGTATTCAGTAAACACAGAAATACACCAACTATGGGTGTAAGACTATATGTGTATATACGCAATTATAAATATAAATTCATCTGTTATTATTATTTCTCCTTTTTTCCCACTGCAAAAAACAGTTCATCATCATCATCACAATGCAAGCCCAGGAACACACACACAGAGAGAGTCTCCAAGAACACACAATGGAGTAGCAATAATAATTATTATAGGATAAACACAGAGAGCAAAAACACATGAACATTAAGAAACAAAAAAAAGAAGAATATAATCCCAACAGGTGGAAGATTAGTTAGACTGTAGGGATTGAATGCAAAAAAAGAAAAGAAAACAAAGGATGACCTGAGTCACACCACCACTACACAATCAGCACACAACAATACAGGCCAGTGTAAACACAATCAGTAGTGGTACACGCACCCACACAGAACTGCTGATACTGCTGCTGCTGTCTGCATCACCCTTCTTGTTGTTTGTGAGTTCAGGAGGAAGTGCTGTTGTAGTGGTGGTAGTAGTGGGTGTATCTGTATTTACTGCATCACCTTCTTGCTTATTTGATGACACACTCCCTGAAGAGGTAACGTCACTCTCCGTATTTGCAGCATCAGAACCGTCAGCATTCTTTACTTCGGAATTGTTGGGAGAAATTTCAGATGTTTTATCAGTTGTAGCAACAGAAGTTCTGTTACCGTCAGTACTTCCTTTCCCTTTTGTTGTATCCACCGTATTTGTTGGAGTGTGGGAATCCTGAGTGGCTGCACCTTGCTGTTGTTCTTGTTGTTGTTCTTGTTGTTTTTCTGGCAATTCAGGCAATTGCGAACCCCCTTGGCCACCAATATTGGATACCCGTTCAGCTGACGTTTCAGTCTGACCAGCAGTTACCTGTTGTTCCTTGCTTGGATCGCCTTCTTTCTTTGGTGATCTTGTCAATTGGTCTTCTTCCTGTGTTTTTTCATGACCACTACTTATTTGAGAATTCTGTTCATCAGGTGATCTATTTACCGGACTTCCAGGATCCGTTGAAAGACCTGGTCTATTTGGTCCCAAATCGGGACGAGAATTAAAAGAACCTGGCGGAGGAGGAATCTGCTGCTTGTCTGGCTCCACTTGAGAGGAACCAGAAGAACGTTCAGACCCATGTACCTTAATAACATTTGCTTGGTCTCCATCTTCGTCCTCATGTTCATGCAGCAACCAATTTTCATTCTCCTGGGCAGGAATGGCACGATGAACAAGAGAAGGACCTCCAACAGTAGAGGGTTTAATAAGGGCATCAGAATCTTTAGGACTATCAGCCCATACTAACCCAGAAGCACAACACAGTGTAAGAGTTAGTAAACAGAGCAGATAGCACTTCACCATTACAGCCTTTATCATTGTTGTTGGTTACTCCAATAGACAAATTCAAGAAATAGGAACAGAAGAAGGAAATAATAATGATAGAAACAAACAAACATACAAGAGTACAACAAATACTCACAGAGGGATAGAGAGCGAAGCAGCAACTGCACAGTAGAGCAACAAAAAGGAATATTCCGCTTGTATGATAATATGTATCCATTAATAGAAAAGAAAAAAAAAGAGAACACCCCACAATACCCAAATAAGAGAGAGAGCCAAATACACACACAATACCCCATGGCTATAGTTTATGTATGAAATTACTGCACACACACATCTGTGTGTACTAGCAAGAGATGTATACCGTCAGTGAGCAGAACAGCCCAGTTTTCTGCAAACACACAACGGGAAAAGCAAGTAATGGAATTATTAGAAAAAGAACAAACAGAAATAAAAGAAAAAGAAAAGATATTCCAATTAAAAGAGAAAGCTGGTAAACATATTATTAATTTATTCACCCATGGGGGATATATGCAATTATGGTTATGTGAGTACCATTATTATTATTTGCCCTCAGAAGAGTCCCATTGTTCAGTAGAGGGTAACGGAGAACAACACAGCCACAATCAGTAGCGGTGCTGCAGTGCGCAACCACACAGGATTGATACTGCTGCTGTCAGCATTAGCCTTATTCTGTACGGTGGAGACGATGTTGCTGCTGGTCTCTGCGTTGGGTACAGGAGATGGAGTGGTGGTTGGTGCTTCAGTGGTAGTGTTCTCGATACTCGGCGAAGTAGTGGAAGTGTTTTCTTGTGATTCTGATTCGGCAGGCGATTGCTGAGTGAGATTAGAGTTGGCAGATGTGCTGTCCGCAGAGTCAGTTAAGACACCAAGTGTAGCATTACCATTTGCCGATTTACTCTCTTCTGATACGCTCGTTCCTGAAGCTAGACGATCCTCATTAGTGACAACATCCGCGGCGGGATCATTCGACTCAACGTTTTTTGTTTGTTGATCCTTCTGTGTGGTATCCTGCGATGGACTTACTTGATTCAATTCTGTTTGTTCACGTTTATCATCA